AATGACTTTAATGGCCAGGCAGGCAATATTTGCATTTAAAAAAATTAAAATTAAAACAAGTTGTAAATGTGGAGCTAATCTAGGTTGTGGTTTAATTGTTTAGAATATTGCTACCCCTACCTTAATTCATCCTGAGTGTGGAGGCCAGTAATGCCTCATTCAATTTTGAACTGAATTTAAGAACATTTAGGGCAAAATCTTCTAAGTTTGACGGCTGAAAGATGGACCTTAGTGTATAAAGGATAAAACAGCCATACAGTTTCACTTCAAAAGAACATGTTGAAGGCAGTAGGCGATTGGAGCTAGAATGAACAGAGGAAGACTCATTGACAAATGACAATATTCAGAAGAAACAACTTTGCTTGCTCCAAGTGAAGAGCACATGAAGAATACAGATGAAGATCAAAGAATACAGACTTTAGTACAGACTACAACTCAATGTAAAGAAAAACATCCTCACAACTGGACCAACAGACAACATCATGATGAATGCAGAAAAGACATATATTGTCAAATATTTCATTTTCCTTAGATCCATAAGCAATGCTCACGGAGGCAGCAGAAATCAAAGGATCTACTGCATTGACCAAATCTGTCACACCTGTGTTGCAGACTAAAAATGTCTAGTTGAGGATGAAGGTGTGCCTGACCCAAGCCATGGTGTTTTCAATTGCTTCATATGCTTGTGAAAGCTGGACAACAATGAAGAAGATCAAAGGGGACTGGATGTCTTTGAATTATGATGTAGGCAAAGAATAGTGAATTTACGGTGGACTGTAAAAAGAGTCGACAAATATGTGTTGGAAGAACAGTCAGCCTGCTCCTAAAAGTGAGAATGGGGTTCATCTCACACACTTTGGACATGTTATTAGGAGGGACCCACTCCTGGAGAAGGACACCATCCTTAGTAAAGTCTAGGGTCAGTGGAATAGAGGAAGGTCTTAAACAGGAGGATTAACACAGGGGCAGTAAGAATGGACTCAAAACACAGCAGTGCTTGTGAGAATGACCCAAGACCTGGCAGTGTTTTGTAGCAACGAGTCAAAATTGACTTTACAACACCCAATAAAAGGGTGAACTAGTAGTTTCAGTTATGTTCTGAGTTATAAATGATAGAATTGAAGCCAATCCTATAGTCAACATAATCAAGAATGAATAAAAATCAACTGAGCTACAGTGATGTAAGTACTCCTGGTTTAAATAACTTGGCTATTTTTTTCTGTTGCTATTATTGTTCATGTTCTCCATTCTGTAATAAAACAGTGCATATGGTGTGGTGAAAGCTATGAGGGCTGATGTACCATTGGACTGCCTTGGTTTTCCAGGTCTGGCCTTTTATTTTTTTTTACCATAGGATACAATCTTAACAGTTTTCTATTGCTAACTTTAGTGGGAAATATTTGAGCTTTGTTTTGTGGACAGGTTCCTGCTATTGCATATTTGACTATATAATCAAGCTGGGAAAATGTAAATTAATGCAAATATAGTAACGGTTACTACAAAAAGTATTAGCAATCTATTGGAGTTTTCTATCCATTTTTAATTTTTC